AAATGATGCGTGCTTGAAGTTTGCCGACAATATCCTATCTGATTGCACCCATCCTATACACATTTGCCTGGGTATGTGCAAACCCCACCCTTCCAGCCTTTCTGAGTACAAACCTGTCCCGTCTCGCATATCTGCATACAGAAACTCTTTCGTACCCTATCTTGCCTGGATACTGACCGACAAATAAATTTTGTCCTAATCTTGGATTATGAAATATCTCCATGTCTGTCATTATTTCCCTCATGGAATATATACTTTGTGACGGTTGTTGTGCGCGATTTCTTAACTGGAATGTAGGCTTCAGTGATTGTAAACGTTATACACAATATAATACAATGCAATATAATCGTTTGAATGAACAGGCAGACCATAAAGTTCCATTACACCTGTTCGTCGAGCTTAGCAATTTGGTTTGCAAACGCTTCATCACCAGCCGAGGTAAAATCGTCAGTGCTTGTGATCATGTCACCTTGGCAAGTGATGAAACGTTTGCAAACCAAATTGCCAAGCTCGGCGAACAGGTTCAATGGAATTCAGTTCACCCGGGAGCTACGAGAACCGATTCTCAGCACTTTGTCAGCAGACAATAAACTTTACTCATTGTATACGTGTGTGACCAAAACCGCTTTGTTTTATAAATACAATTAATCAGACACTATGAATAAGATTTCAATGAATACATACAATATAGATTTTAATTATTATAAAAGTGGAAATCTATCATGCTAGTGATAACTCTGTTTTACCTGGCCACACAGCTTCCTGGAGTTCTAATGCGAAGCTGTCAAACCACATTACGGGTACTGGATTTGTCCGGGAATGCATTCGATCGGTCAGCGCACACGGAATGGTCCACGTTTTTCAGTGGGACCACGGCACTGGAATCGCTCCTCCTGGACGGGTGTCACGGATTATATTTCGCTGAGACACTTCGAGTAAGTTTGCTCAAATACCCCCTCCCGCGGTTCGCGGTTCGTGCACTTTGATTTAGCTCATTTGTGACAGATAGTGGGGGGGGGGCGATGTTCATATTGGAGCTGTGTTATCCAAATAAGACCGGGCATGGGGGTACGAAAGCTCTAACATGGAGACTCGTTCATAAAGGTCGCGTTAGGCTCCCTGGATGGGGACCTGTAGACCCTAGTAGCCGGTGGTTGAAGACACTGAATTCTCAATTTCTTAACAAACTTGATCTCATGAAATTCTTCATTTTCTCCTCAATCCTACTTTCAACTTTTCTGTCTTTCTAATACTGCTTCATCCAAATGGGCAGCTAAAAAACAGTAAACAAAATTGACACACAAAAGTGCATGGTAATGGTTGTACAGACTGAAACTGAAACTGAACTGTGTTGTTGAACTCGAGGTCAGCAAAATCCAATTACGGACAACGACAGTGGCAAATAGAAATGCACCAATTATCTTCTTTAATATTATCAGTATGTTATTCCGTATCTGATTGCGGAATAGTCAGAAAAATGAAATTAGTGTGTATGTTGATAAGGTTTAACGGAGGTAATTATTTTCACGGAAAAAATCAAGGAATAAAAGTCAAACTGGTCTTGATACCTTTAATCTGCTCTTAGTATAGCTGAAAAATATTAAAATCGACATATCGTGTTTTCTCAATGCTTTTCATGTATAAATTTGATTAACACATTGTGTGGTTTGTAAACACAACGAGGCGTTGGATAAATGGCTGCACGGATTGGACACACGAAGTAGGGTCGAGGTTAGCCATTGCCGAATCGGATCATAACTGGGTCATTAGAATGGCCGTCCCCAGTTTTCTACCTGGATTCACACCGAGGACATGACGATTAAATTGCGGTAGATCACACAGGAGAAAATATGCTGCCTTGGTGGTTGCTGTGTGACACAGCTTTCCGTGGAATTGAGAATTCGTTTGTTTAAGATGGTCCACAATAGCTTTGAAACTTGTTCTCCTCACACCGGTGGTCAAGAAAGCTAGCTGGATTGTGAATAGTATTCGATACTTCTAAAAATTTAACTTATCAAACGAGAGCAGACACAATAGTATGCAGCTATTGCTAGGATATTAATAAAGCCATTTACCTATGAGACTCATAGAAGCATCTAGTTGGTTGTTCATGTGAACAAGCTAACATACGACTGAAAACGAGTGTGTGACTGCTTTCTTTTAGGTATTGAGTGATCAAATCACTTTTCAGTCTCCTTCGAAATGACTGTAATCCACTATCCACTATTTACATTAAAAACCCCTAATCTAGTTTGAATCGGTCCTTCTTAATCGAATCGTGAATTTGTGTTCTACAGGTCACTCCGACGAAAACCCATTTCGAAGCATTATACATCCTTGTTTTAACAGTCTAAGTCATCGATTTAGTCGGGGTTTGGACCTTCCTTCACACGATGAATTGGTAGCTCAAATCACTAATCACGAACTATCAGCAGCTCACATCACGTGGACACAACCTATTTTGGGCACTGATTCGTCATTGTTGTTTGTACGAATGAACCAGATGGGATATTGGGGCAAGACAAAAAAAAGCATCATGATGACAGGATGCGGGTGGAATTTAATTACTTGGTGATTGTAATCTATATGAAAAGAATGGAGGATTTGATTTGATTTTATGATGAATTCGCCGCGTAAATAAGGCGTGATCTGAAAAGCTGGGAAGCACTGTACAACGATCTCGAAAGTTTCCGACTGACTCGTAACCCTGGAGGCCAGTGCTAAGATGAGCCAGGAGTGATGCCCACAACAAGTTCGCAACGGAGGTTTGTGCTATATCATGTATGATTAACAGTTTGATTAACTGCGCGGTAGTCGAATGGGTGATATACCTGCGTTCTACTGCCTGTGAGGTCCCGGGTTTGATCCCCAATTGGGTTGATTGATTCACACTGCATCTGATGAGATCCAATCAAGTCGAAACTGCCATTCAGTGCTTCCTAATTTTTCAGCTCACACCTCATTTACTCAACGAATTCATCATCTGATAGCAATCTAGTTAGCTAGATCCATTCATTCAAATCACACTTGATTAAAAGACTGAGAGTTTGGCCAACAATCAAACAAATGCATAAAAAAGCAAGATAGATCATTCCATTAGGGATACCCTTACTTCACAGTTATTGTAGTGGTTAAGAAAATAATGATATACGGGTTTTGTTCAAAATTAGTTGTTGATAAGCTCACGGAATATTATGAACTAGCGAATGGTCACACCCAATCTGCAGGTAAACAAAAATAAAAATTGAAATACGGTTTTGTTTGTGTTAGAAACCGCTAGCTGTTGCGTACCATCCGACATTGGTGCGAAAGGTCTATTGTTGAAGCCCTACTGCACGATATTTTCGGCCCCTACTCATCTACATCATCATCGTCGTACACCACCGATAGCGTGATCACGTGTTGCGTATGCCTGCCCATCGGCTACCTTTCCGTGCTCTGTTCGTCCGTGTCAAGCGAGACTGGAAGAAGCGCCGCGGCCTTCAGGCTATAGCATTGCGTAGAGGTTTGAAGGAGCTGGCTTCATCGTTAGCTTTGGTTGGTGCAGCCCGCCTTCCAGGTTGGGGCCCAAAGGATGAGAATTGTCCTTGATTACAGACGCTGAGAGAAACAGCCCAGAATAGAAGTTAGTGGCGCGAATGCTGTAAGGTTTGCCCGATGAAATCCACAAAAAGGATAAACTACCACACAAAAATATCAAAAATGTACGGTGAAAGAAACAAAAAATTGTTATCCTCGTCATTCAACCTATCTGTTTGACTATCTTTTACTCTGCTTTGGATCCCAAGCCCATATTCTGTTATTCTTATTGTTGCGTTGACACCAAGCTTGCTCGTTAGCCCGTGATACATATATATATATATCTTTATATATATAAGTTAGGCGAGGATTGAACGTGTTCGTGGGAGGGGAAAGGAAGTGAACTTCTGTGGTCAACACACAGTCTGAACAATCTGTGTGCATACACACCTTTTCAAGCATTCTGACCTGACAATAAATTGCGAACAAGATCGCCACTGCTGTCGGTTCGCTACTATATCCCTCCTCCAGCGTTTCCAACTACCTGGTTGCACAGTCTTTTGGACACCAACCTGGTAGACGAAAGATACCAACTGCAGCAAATAGCTCTGTGCTTTTCTTCAGGTCTCGTCTCAAATCATCTGTTGACCTCCACATGGATTGTGCCAAATCGGAGCGGCGACAGTGGTTACAGTGCGGTGCGATAGACGATAACTGAGTACAGACAACTGCAGAACATAGATGATAGCTGGAATGTGCTAATGCTACACAGTAGTCCCACTATGTAATTACTTTCTATTGATACATCATTATTTGATTTTTCTTGTAGTAGTAGTGAAAAGGTTATCTCAATCATCTCTCAATCTCAATCAATCTAAGAATCATATTTGGGGTGGGGGGGGGTTAGGGACTTCCCAAGTAGGTGAGTAATATGCGGTACAACCCCGAATATTCACAAGTTGAGGAATCTTATTCAACCACAAAACACATGCCTGTTTGGATACAAATTTTATTCCTGTAAAAGGCGTGACATTAAAATCGCAAATAATTTATGCAAAATCACGTGTTTTGCAATCGAGTCCCGAGAATCCATTTTCTACATCTCCGGGTTCAGTCATTCGCATTCAATCATACGGGTCACAACCAGTGTTCAATGGTGAATTTGATTCTTCCGTACAGTCACCTTGTAGCTATTTGTCTATTGATTTTTATGTCAATTTTTTTCGATCGAGTAAGAGATCTGATGAAAGTAAGATTTGCATTTAACTCACAGGTAATTGTGAGTAGTGTTGTGGGATAATCGATATTGGCTTGAGCTGATTATCCTTCAGATTTTATCTACACGCATAATCCTCAATTCATCCTGTCAACCGTACAATCGGAAGCACTACGCTCGAGTTTCGCTGATATTGGAGCTCACCAGTAGTGTATATCCACCGTTCCATCCAGGTTTTGAACCCCGGACTCATCGCGTGGAGGGCGTGTGTTAACACTGTACCAACCAGCTCATACCAGGGCTGAATCAAATTGTCAATACAGGTTTATTCAGATGTTGTCTTCAGAGGTAGTCAGTTTTAGACCCAATAGCAGCGAAGGGAGTCACAGTTGACTATCTGTTAGCTCCAATCGAAAGCATCCGACGTAATCAGATCTTTCATGCAGGCTACGGGCTGACTTACACTTGATCAGTGATGTGGGTTCATTTGGAACCAAAAGCCCTACCTGAATTTGATGAGGTGATATTTATCTGAATTGGATCTATCAAGTTTGTAAATTGTAGAGCATTTTCGGGTCAAATGTCCGCAAGTGCCAATTTTCTTAGTTCCTTGTAATGTGCGCAACAGGCCCGGTAAGAACCATATTTTTACTGCGAAGAAGAATAGTCTCAACCAAGCTTACTTCCGAGCTTTTCGAGTTATCATCGATAGCAAAATACAAAAGGCAGTAGAATACGGATAGATTGGTCTGATATGTTGCCCTGTTATGTGGTTGGGAAACTAACGGAGCAGTTTCTCTCTTAAGTGGTGCACTTTGAGTTCTCAACCGATTCGCACAATCACTTCATTCAGGCCTCAGTCTGTATCTTCTCCCGAATCGATCCTGTATTCTTTCATGCCTCTGTGACGCGAATTAAAAATAGATCATCACATTTCATTTCTCGTTTGTAATTGTTTTCTTGTACACAAAATTTCCTTGGTGCAACAAATCGTACAGGAAATAAATCATACCAATTATTTTAATAGGTCTCATAGTGGTGGCCGAAAGAAATTATCTTAAGCTATTTACACAAACTGTAAATGATAGCGATGAATTTCTGTGCTGTTGTATGCTGTTATATGTCAAAGTGCGAATTGTTGGTCATACAAATGTGCACATTTATATGTCGATCAATAACATGAAAAACCACAGTGAAAGT